TTTTTTTTTTTTGTTGCTGGTTTAAGTGAATTCGATTTCAAATCTGTATCATAGAAATTTCCATCGCAAAATTCCATGGCGGACATTCAAATTAATCAGAAATTAGTACTTTGTACAGGAATATTTGCTAATATCACGCGGGCTAAGGCAATTTGAAATTTAGTCGAGTAAATTTAGATCAAATTGGTACGAAAAAAAATGTAGTGGGGATCTTTTGCTGCAGTTTACTTCTATTTGAGACGTAGATTACGGATCCATAGCCTTGCCCCTAAGTTTCGTATGGGAACAGTCCGCCAACATGGATTTTAGGTTTTTTGAGTTTTTATCAATTTGCAAGCGTATTTTGCATTTTTCGTAAAAAGATGTGAAATGCAAATTTGTAGAAAATTTTATTTCCCAAATTTTTTTATTTAAGGTTTTTTTTTTTAAATAAAAAGAAATTTTTTAGTGTTAAGGTTTACTTCATTCAAAATCCCGAACTTATTAACACACAAAAAAATATAAAAAGTTTTAAAATTATGAAAAGTACTTTGTCACATACATACTCGCATATTTTGCATGCATATAAACCTATTGTTAAACACCAGCTAAATGGCGTGACGTAACAAATCTCCATATTGCGCGTGTATAATGCAAATTCAATTGAGCAAGATTGCAATAAGGCATCTGCGATAAATTGCAAGTAATTATAGGTGTAATTGAAATTCCAAACATTGATGCATTGAGTGATCGAATGCCTATGGACGCAATGACGGATGGAGTAAAGCGGGGCTATAAAATTAACTTTCGAAATTTTTGATTTACTTTTTTGCGTACTTTTTTTTTAAATGAACCGAATTCCACAGATTGGTAAAAAAAACAGAGTGCGCGTAGGTGTTTTGCATACCTAAATAGTATTTTAGCGCCATGCGCACATGTTTTAATTGTAAAACAAAAAAGAAAAAGTATTAAAAATTAGCTTTTTATTCTCACTTACCCCCCGTCCTTCCTCGAAGGCATCGCGCATGGAGTAGCCTCTTCGCCCCATTTTTCGGCGTAATTTTCTCCTTGGTGGCGTTGTATTGCTGCTGCTCGTCGGAAAGATGTCTTCCTCTCTGCTACTGTCGTCCCCACTGACACTCAAATAGTTATTATTATTGTTTTTACTACCACTTGCAGAACCCACTTCGGGATCTCCCTGTTGCAATGCAGAGTAGTTCACTGACTGAAAGCGATTAAAACGGGGACCGAATGTGCCGAGTATTGCGCCAGCAACTCCACCACTACCTTCTTTTGTGGTGGTAGGCTTTCGTTTGTTGCGTGCCACGCCGCCACTTGTACGTCGCGTGTTCTGTCGCGTGCTACCGCCGACCCCTGCTGCTGTCGAGCTGCCTACTTCTGTGCTGCTTTGTGATTGCTGTATCTCCAACCAGGTACTCATCACTGCCTTAATTGCAGTTATTGCATATACTTTGAGCGCAGGTTGGGTTTCACTTCACAAAGTGACTGTTTGTTTGATTTTTTTATTATTATTTTTTTAATTTTGCGCGACTTGTTTCGGGTGGGCCATGTTACGGTTAAGGAAATCTGAAATAAAAATAAATAAAGAATTATAATTTGAATTTGAAAAATAAATATAATTAATATAAAAACAATGCAGAAATACATATTTGGCGGTTAGACTTTTGCTAAGTGTTTTGCTGAGCTTCTTCCTCAATTTGTGGTGTGCATCTTGGTGATGCACATGGACGAGCCTACAATTTTTCGCCGCCTCCGAACAGAAATAGGGGAATCTTTGGGAATAAAAAAATATAATCGGCAAGCCGGTAAATGTTCGAAGAATTAGGAAGCGAACGATTGCGCTAGGTAAAAGTCTGAACGATGGCTTACGGAAACGAGCCGCAGATACACTTCCCACTGAGATTCCTACATTCACTGGCAGAGAAGAAGAACAGTGTATCTACATCTACCAGAAGGTAAACTAATCGGCTGCATGAAGTTTATAGCGTTTACATTGGCTGAGGCTTTCTTCAGCGCCGCTCACAGGAATTTTGCGATGCACTGAATAGTCCAAAGGACCAAAGGAGCGCCAAATATTTTCTGTGTATGCTGTCAAGATGAAGAAATGGTGAATTCATTATGTATTTCCTGTGCGAGTCCGATTTCTGGGAGACAATTTCTTTCAGGACCTAGACGGTAAATGGAGAATTTCGCTGCACATACTGTTTGCGTTCTCCAAAAGGTAGATATAGTTCGAGGACATGTCGCTAGTTCAATCGACCTCTGTAGGTCACAAGAGAGCCTTTGACGTATAATCTTTTATGACCCTTTTTTAAAGTCTCCGTATATCGGAGGCTATTATCCGATTGATGTCCTCACTGAGAAAAATGCTCTGAGTAGAGGAATTCATTTTACCAAGCAGCAGTCTAATTAGGACACTTCGGAAAGAATGCGATTCAAAGTGTATCCCTTTAGTCGATCAAATCTACCGGCAGGAAAATTTTATTTTATCGCCAGTCCTTACATAATTCATACATAAATCTGGCATTGCATTATTCTGTTAGGTGTCAAAATTGATTTTGGGCCCAATTCTAAATGGCTTTTTAAAGACTTGTCGAAGTTCTTTGATGCAATGCGGTAAGGAGATGTAAACTTGATTTCTGTCGCATGAAATAACGCTAAGCCAGCTCAAGATTTTTCTCCTTGAAAGGCCAAAAAACTTGCAGGCGAATACTCATACGGAACTGCGGATGTATGTAAACATTAGTGCATTGTAAAGATACTTTTGTACTTTAGGGTGCAACACCAAAAAACCATGTGGTTTTAACACTGAAATTATTAAATTTTGTTATATTTTAAAACTTCCCCCAAAATATTTTGGAAAAATATTAAGACCTAGTGAGCTAGACTGATTTGAAAATGCTTCAAAAAATTGCATTATTTTGATTCCGTTGATAAAATTAAAAATATATATATATTTAGACCTTTTAAGCTTAAACTCTTCTGTCATCTTTTTGGACAAAATATTGTTAAAAACTACTTTTTAAAAAACTCGATTTTTGGATTTTTTTCAAATTGGTCACGTAAAATTTAACACTTTTCCGAAATATTTTAAAATATAAAAATATTTTATAATTCCGATGGAAAAACAGTACAGAATTGTATAGAGAGTGATGCACCCTAATAAATAAATATGTTTGGAGATGTAACGGGTGATTTTTTAAGAGCTTGATACCTTTTTTTTTAAAAAAAACGCATAAAATTTGCAAAATCTCATCGGTTCTTTATTTGAAACGTTAGATTGGTCCATGACATTTACTTTTTGAAGATAATTTCATTTAAATGTTGACCGCGGCTGCGTCTTAGGTGGTCCATTCGGAAAGTCCAATTTTGGGCAACTTTTTCGAGCATTTCGGCCGGAATAGCCCGAATTTCTTCGGAAATGTTGTCTTCCAAAGCTGGAATAGTTGCTGGCTTATTTCTGTAGACTTTAGACTTGACGTAGCCCCACAAAAAATAGTCTAAAGGCGTCAAATCGCATGATTTTGCTTATTTACGAAGCCATTCAACCAGAAATGAGCCTCATCGCTGAACAAAATTTGTCGATAAAAAAGCGGATTTTCTGCCAACTTTTCACACATTCAACACATTTCGAACCGAACACTGATTTTGGTAATAAAATTCAATGATTTGCAAGCGTTGCTCGTTAGTAAGTCTATTCATGATGAAATGTCAAAGCATACTGAGCATCTTTCTCTTTGACACCATGTCTGAAATCCCACGTGATCTGTCAAATACTAATGCATGAAAATCCTAACCTCAAAAAAATCACCCGTTAGTAGTGCACTTTTGAATATATTTCCAGGTATGTTGAGTTGAAATTTTTGCGCAAAGGCCACAAACCAAATGTATGAATTTGCAAGCACTTTTTAATATAGCAGCCATACATATGTGCAAGCATGCACACATACATACAGACAAAGATCCATATGTCTGTGCATATAAATGTAGAAATGCACGTAAGTGGGGCAACCTCAAGATCAAAACCAGTTGGCGAAATTTCACTCATATTTTGGGTAGCAGTAAGAATGCAACAGTTTTTGCTTTTATTGAAAACTACGTACATACTTACTTTTTTTTTTGGGGAATGCACGCACATAAATGAACGAATAAAAGCTGCAGTTGTAAAAATTCAATTTCTCATGTTTGCCTATGGGTAAATCTGGGCCGGATTAAAGTATGGGCTGACGGCTTTGTGGCGCCACATGGCGATCACGAGAAATTTAGTTGTTTGAAAATTTTAAATGTCCAAAAAAGCTTTGTCATTAAAGTTGTGTGCTATTGGCATGAATCTATTGGATTCAAATACAAAAATATCTTCATCTCGCAAGCATAGGTCTGGCCAGCACTGGTTGAAATACTAAATGCACTTATCGTTAACATGGAAAATACGTATTAAAGGATACTAGTGAACCCGCATGACGTTAAAACGCCCAAAATTTAATTTCAAAAACCTAAAAAATATTCCAAATATTAGTCACAGTTATAAGCGATCAAAGTGCCATATTTCATCTAAATCCCTGTAGCTGTTTTTTAGTGAAGAGGTCTCGCATAGTGCGGGTTTTTAATTTCATAAAATTTCAAATCACCCTTTAAAAAAGATGTTAAGTAAAAAAATAAAACTTTATTGCACATCTACAGGTTAAGGTCTTTAATTTGACCTCTCATTTTTGAAATTCAAAAGAACGCTGAAAATCGAATGACTTTTACACAAAATACCTTCCCGGATAATACACATAGGCTTAGTTCCAAGTTGGTATATTGCAAAGCATCCGCCTTTTTTATTTCTAAACTATAATTGATGGCAATGACCAATTTGCGCAACTAAGTTCAAATTCGGCATTTCCATCAGTTGTAGTTAAGAAATAAAAGAGGTTGATGCTTTGCAATATACCAACTTGGAACTCAGCCATTCATATCCCTATACTTTTAGATCGATATGTTTTTTTCGAAAAGGTGGCCAGCCTAATTAAAGATATTTTCAAATTTAAGCTTTCATAAATTTCTTTCGATTCACACCCATATCTAAATATTTCATAAAACTTGTGTATACGTCAACTAAATTCGACCTTTCAAATAGGTGGAAGTCCTTTTCAAAAGTTATTTCAAACTAAAATCTTCTTAAATCTCTTTCACCTGACATTGTGATACACGTGTGTTTCAATAGCAGATGAACTAATTTGAATTTGATTGTTCAAACATGTTGCAACCCTCCTAAATAAAGGTCAGAAATAAAGAAAGAAATGGGTTTTTTTCTGAAACCAAATTGGTGAACAGGAATCAGTTGTTGGCATTAGCCGAGTTAAAAGAAGCTTTTCGAATAGCTTCGACATTACTCGTAGTAGGGATATAGACTTATATACCATAGTAACTTGCGCGAATTTCCAATATATAGGTACTCGCTTCAAGCTAAAGCACTTATTTAGCAAGCTGGTCAAATGAACTATGCAGTTTGTTGGTAATTTGCGAAGAACTTGGGCAGTGATTAAGTCAAATTGAGGAGACTTTTTTACCTCATTTTGTTTTTATGTTTGCCAACTTCTTCCGGTGTAAAAGGACTAATATGGATATCACATTCAGGCCAGCATCCAGTGGCTTCTATTTCATCGAAGCCTTCATTAGGGCTAAAGGTCTCTTCCAGATGCTCAACAAACCGTGTCGCTTTTTGGTAACTTGTTTTGGCCCACTTCCTTTCATTAATATTAACGGGAGCAATGTGTTGCATTGGTCTATTAAAATCTTAGGCCGCCTTCCACAAGGACAAGTCTGTGCTTTTATCAGCCGTGAGACCGACCAGGAACCGATTGCTAAGTTCAGTTTCAATTTAATTGCTGGAGATCTGGTTTGCTGCCAGCATTTTCGTAATTTACGTTTTTTTGCTACTAAATTCCTTATAAAGGGTGCGTACCTTTTTCCCTGAGCAGTTGGTTTTGGTGTGGGTGTACTATTCCACGCCACCAACTGAAGTTGTTTGGTGAAATGAAGTACTGCGTCTGCGAGCTGATCGCTAGTAGTGATATGGTTGTATTCGACTAATTGTTCTAGCTGTATTCAAGGAGATTTTGTGCTGCATCTTTCGAAATTACTAGTTGCACTAGCGAATAGTCAGAGCTCAGATCAAAACCTTCAGTGACAGATAAATAATCTGTAGGTATATTTTTGTAGACGAAAAATCGATCAAATCTGGGATTTCGTTAGTATCTGTTTACCAGTTGAAATTGAATTACAACCTGCGTGCTGCATAGCTTTATGCGATTCTCGTCCTTTTGTCGTGGTCAGCCTTGAACCCCATGGTTGTATGTTTTGCGTTGCAGTCGCTTCCAATTATAAAACGACTCTTCCACCGACCCTTAAAAGGTGGGCTGTACAGAAACGATGTGAAATTCCTTTGTGCAAATATATTCACCTAAGTGATGTTATATTGTCAGGATGTATAGTATGGTAGAAGGCGTAGTTTTTTTTTAATTCAAATACAATTGTTTCATGAAGACGAATGCAAACTCATAAAGAGCAAGCTTCTCAGGCTC